ATCTATCTATCTATCTATCTATCTATCTATCTATCTATCTATCTTATTTGTTTTAGATTTTTAATTCCGCGCTAATTGGTGGCGGTAGGGGAAGTATCTTGTAATAACAGTGCATTTGGACGAGGATTCGGGTTTTCGCATCACGCTGGTGCTTTCTTAAAAAAAAAAAAAAAAAAAAAAAAAAGGCCCCGTGAAAGATAATGGACGTTATCCCCCGGGAGCCCCCCGCGTCCGACACTCCGGTTACAAAATCCAACCCCCGCCCCCGTCCGTCCCGAGCTGCTTGTCCTCCGGGCCCTGCGTCCGTCCGACGCTGTTTCAAAGTGGTGGGGGCAAATACTAATTGGGTCTGAGAACAACCTAATTTCGGTAGCGAAAACCGCACTCCGGTGCCTCCAGCCCCAGCGGGGCCGCGCATTGTGCGCTGCTCACACTCGCTACGGAGGCAGCGATGGGCAGAACTAGCCCGAAGAAGGGGGGGGTTGGGGGGAAGAGAAAAAAATAAAGGAAAAAAGAGAGGGATGGGGGACGAGGGGGGGAAGGGAGAAAAAAAGTGAATTATAAAGAAACTAAGAGCCCGACACGAGCGACACGGAGGCACCAGCCGTCCATTAACCGAGCGCGGGGAGTTACCTGGGTCCTGCTGATGGCCTGCCCGGTGTTCCCGGGACTCATCGCCGGGTGGTTCCTTTGTTGTGCCGCTGCCCAGGCCGGGTTTGCCGCTCCGTACTGGGCGCCCATGTCCTTGCCCATGCCCATGCCCGCTGCTGCCTGCTGGCTTCCCGGGGCGGCCGCCGCTGCCTGGGGCTGGGGCTGCGGCGGGGCGCTAGGGCTGCTGTAGTCGGGGTAGCTGCTGCCGTAGCTCCGCATCATGGGGCTGGGGGACGTGAGCAGCTGGTTCAAGGTAGGGGTGGCCCCGGACGGGTGCTGGTTCTGCCCGGAGAACCGCGCGAAGCCGCCGGCCGCCGCCGCGCCGGCACCAGCCTTGCCGAGGCCGGCCCCGCCGCCGGGGCCCATCATCATGCCGCCGCCGGGCTGCCGCGGGGAGCTCAGCACCCCGTAGCCCGCCGCGGAGCCCCCGTAGCCGCCGCCGCCGCCTGCCCCAGCGGCCGCCGCCGCCGCCGCCGCCGCTACGGCTCCCGCGCTGCCGCCGCCGCCTGCGCCGCCGCCGCCGGGGCCGCGGCCGTAGCCCGGGTAGTGGTTGTACTGGCTGTTGGGGTACCCTTCGTGGGAGTTCTGCAGGGGGTCCATGCTGTTGGGGGCCGCCGTGGGGTGCATTATCCCCATCCCGGGGCTTTGTTGTCCGCCATGTTGATCAAAGCAAGGCCCGGCGCGGCTCGCCGTAGCGCTGCTGGCAGGGGCAGGGGCAGGGTTGCCATAATAGCTATTGAACTCCGAGACACCCACCGCGGAGGGGCCGCCGCCGCCTCCCCCGCTCCCGCCGCCGCCGCCGCCGAGGCCGCCGCCGCCGCTCCCAGCACTCGGGGGCGGCTGCTGGGGCTGCTGCTGTCCGCCCAGGGGTCCCAAGCCGGGGTGGTCGTAGCGGCCGCCGATGGGCTCGCCCATCTTGCTGGGCATCTCCTCCTCGTCGGCGCTTTTATTCAGCATTTGCTGCGGCTGCTGCGGGGGCTCGGCCTGAGCGCCCAAAACACTGTCTTTTCCTCCATGTTGCTGCTGCTCCATGTCTGCACTGGGCTGAGCAGCGCCGCCACCGCCACCGCCGTTGTTGTTGCTGCCGCTGCCGCCGCCGCCGAGGCTGCTGTTGTTATTCTGCACGGGATGGTGCTGAGGCGGCGGCTGCTGCGGCGGCGGCGGCGGCGGGAATTGATTTAGCTGCTGCTGTAGTGCATGGTGGTGGTGGTGCGGGTGGTGGGCATGGTGGTGGTGGGCATGGTGATGCGGGTGGTGGGCATGGTGGTGGTGGGGCGGCGCGGCGGGGTGATCGCCTCCGACGCTCTTCAGCTTGTGGTTGGGGAGCAGCCCCGTCTCCATAGCCGAGCCCGGGTTGGAGGAGGAGGAGGAGGAGGAGGAAGAAGAAGACGAAGAAGATGAAGATAACGCCGAGGAGCTTCCACCTTCCTTCAGAGCCGGCTCCGAGGAGGAGCCGCCGCCGCCGCCGCCGCCGCTGGCGTTGTTGTTACCGGCGGCAGCGGCGGGAGCCGCGTTATTGGCCATGTTCGGTGGCTCGCTGCGGTGGTGGTGGTGGAGATGGTGATCTAAATTATTCACGCTGCTGCCGCCGGCCAGACTCCCCTCGCCGACCCCCAGCGCGGGGCCCGGCCCGGGAGCCCCGGCCCCCCCCGGGCCCCGCTCCGGGCCCAGGCCGCCCGGCAGGCTCGGGGCTTTGCCCTTGCTGTTGTTCGCACCCGCGGGAGCCGCTGCGACTTGCGCGGCCATGATCATCGCAACATTGCGAGTCCGGAGAAATTGGTGCTGATAACTATTAAAAAAAAAAATTTAAAAAAATTGAAAAATAAAAAAAATCGACCCCCACTCTCAAAAAAGGTGGGCGAGCAGAGAGGTGGGGGGAGGAAGAAGAGAGGGGCAAAAGGAGGAACGGCCGGGGCAGGGACTTGACTGAGCCAGAGTATCCCCTGCGGACCGCTCCGCACGCACCGAGTTACAGCGATTTCCCTCCCCGAGTCCGTGGTTGAGGTTAGAAATGGTAAGAACGTCTTACGGTACGTGCCCGTTCCCGCTGTGTGATTTCATGTTGAAAGTTTTTTTGTTCAGGTTTAAATGAAACTTTTTTTTTTCTCCTCCTTTCCTCCCTAACCCGGATATGGGTAAACACACGTCTGCCGGAGCCGCGCTGGCCCAGCATGGCATGAGCGAGCGAGCGAGCCAGCCAGCGCCGGCAGCCATCGCCCCCTCCGCCCCGATCGCTCCCGCGCACCCGCAAAACGCGGACTGGACTCCACGCTGGACTTGCTCCGGCGCCCGCTCCCCTCTCCGCTCTCCCGGCAGCGCGGCAGGATGGGGGGGCGCGCCCCCCGCGGATCCCCCCTTCCCACCGGGGTCCCGCCCGTGTGCGCGCCGGGGCTCGCGGCCCGCGGGGAGCGCCAGACCCGCGCGGGGGCCGCTCCGAGGCCAGGGGTCGAGGCGGGCCCCGAGGGGCGCCCCGGGCCGCCCAGCGCCGCTGGGGCAGGGGGGCAGCGCGACTGTCCCCGGTGCTGCTGGGCCGAGGGTGCCGCCGGCGGCGCTGCCCCGCGCGGGCCGGTCCGGCGGGAGGGCGGCGAGGGGCCCGCCATGCGCGCGGCGCCCCGCGTCCAACTGTGCCCGAGCAGATGGATCGGTCAAAGTTTCGGGGGCCGCACGCTGCCCCCCTCCAGCCCCTTATGCCGGGCTCTGCAGCCGCCTCGTATGCCGAGGACAGGGACGCGTTTGCTCTCGTCTCGGAGAAATAAGACTTGTTTTAGATTCTTTCTTTCCCCCCACCTTCCAGCCACCCGCCCCCTGAAGATTTATACTGTGTGTGCAGACGGTTTTAAAATTTAACCTAAAATTCTGCAGCGGTAGCATCTTTGCAGTTGTCCACATTGTCCAGATGTCTCCAAATTCTAACGGTCATTTGCACTGATGATGCTTTTATATATAGGGCCGTTTTCAATATGTTCTGTGTACTTATTTGCAGATCAACAGGAGTTGATCAAGGAGAGAGAGGCGTTTTTGGTCTCATAATTGTTTCCCCAAACAATATAATTTCCAGTACACACAAGACACTCATGAAAACGTACTAACACAAAAACCAAAATATGTAATATGAGTAACTCTTCCTCCAAATGGAAAGCTGCTGCTGACCTACATTTTTGAACCAGAACAGTCTGAAGTTTTTTTTATAACTACCTTAATACAAATGATACCTTAATATAACAAAAGGTAATAGTCAGACATTATGGTCAACTAATGAAAGCATTTGGGAGTTCAAATACTTGGCTATGAACAGAGCAAACTGGGATATTAACAAACCTTTTCAATACAGCAAGGGTCTAAACCACGCTGTTTTAAATGTATATATTTATGCGCTCTGTTAAAGGTAAGCACACTTTCAAATTTCAAAATGGATAAACAGGAGATTCAATCATAATACTGGAGAAGAACGCAGCGTATCAAGATGCTGTCATGAATAGGTAGGCTTTTTTGAATCCACTGTGAAAACATTAAAGAGCAGAAGCTTCATGCTATAATGTTGAGTTACATGCAAAGATTATTGATAAATGTATGAACAGTGTGATTCCAGTGTCTATTAATTTTAGTTCTGTCTGAAGAGTCAGATATATTCTGATTTCCTTTATGGAATTAGTTCTGAAAAGTCTCAGTGCTTGTCAAGTACATCTTGCTAATACTTCTGTTACAATTGTATTTTTCTTTTTTTTTTTTTGTACTCTTTCAAGTGCAAAAATGTTATATGGCTAGTAGAAAAACGTAGAGTGGGAAAAAAATGGTGAGTAATTCTAGTGGGGGGAATCAGGTGCATACCCAAGGGTCATTACGGGCTGTAACAACAACAAATTGCAATTCTATGCAAACTGCTAGAAAGGGGTATATCATCTTTGTAGGAGAGAGAATAACAGAACTGTAAGATGAACTCATGCCAAATCATTCATCAGCTTTTGCCAAGAGAATACTACATCTTTGTTAGTGAGCCTTTTTGACATTTTCTCCTGGATTTTCTTCTTTTCTATATTCAAATGCACCCTAATTATACACATTAAACCACCTAAGCTGATTTTTTGAAGTCTTTCATATGCAAATAAAAATATAGATGTCTCCTTGTGTGTATTTATTTACATGTGTACTCTAAAATAAAATATAAAATCAATTACACTTTTTACTTCGAGACATTTATATTTGAGCAAAAATACGTATATTGAAGATCTTCTGAGATGTACTGATAGTGCCTGGGCTGCAGATCGCAATACTTCCTGACATCCTCTGCAACTCTTTCCCATCGGAAAATAACCCGCAAAAGTTTAACGCAAATTTACTTTGAAATGTTTTCCCCCGGAAAGGGAAGAAAAAGGATGAGGCTTTAAACTGACGAGTTCATACCTCTAACTCTTTTTCCTCCCATTTGTTTCAGCAACTCGGCTACAAGATTGGAACTAAGAGGCTATAAAATTGAGGCCCTCAGCACAATGAAATCAGTCTGCTATAAAAGGCAACACATGCCAGTTTTTCCTCCCCAATGGCAGATGCCACAGCCTAAAGCAGACAGAAGGCACTGCAGTCTGTGCAAGGGAAGCACAACACAAAGCAACAACGATGGTTCAATTTTCTAGATCGCAAATAATGTTGAAATTCCTTTTGCCATCTTTGCTCAGATGATGAGTGGTAGTGTTTGTTAAATTCAAATGCTCCTTTCCAAAAGCTCTCATTGTATGCATGAATTATGAATTTATTATAATATAATGTAAAAAAGCTCTAATTGCCATGCACATTATCTGCTGCAAAGTGATTGCATTGATATTTGATATCGTAAGTGTGCAGTTTCAACTTTAGTTCCATTTTCATTGTTCCTTCAATTTAATTATTTTCTATAAACCAGTGTTGTCCAAGTGCGGTTTCTTTCTCTGGATTTTTTTCTGATAAATTATGAACTCTGGTGCTCTGAGATCCCTTTTCAAGATAAACAACATAATTTTCTAAACTTACTATTGGTAAGTTTTTTATTCCATTGGCTACAACATCCATACAGAACCCCTAGGCCACCCATCTGTAGGTCAACCCCATGGAAGTTAGGTGCCTTTCTCAGCAGTACAGCAGCCATCCTTCCATTTGGTCAGAGCAGCGCCTTCCAGATCATACAAAGAGTAACAGTGAAGAGAGAGACGGAAAACAAACCAATATCGTAATAGGTCCAAGGTGTTATGCTAGAAGTACTGGGAGAAATATTTAATTTTTTTGGGGGGAGGCGAGGTAAAAATCCAGTCAGAGGTTCAAGAGCCTGTTGGATTTGACCTGGATACCCGCAAGAGTCTGAAAAATCCCTGTGTACAAAAAAAAAAAAAAGAAAAGCTTTTTTGCTGTGTTCTTGTTGTACTGTATGTTTAAATCCACTGCACAGTTTGATGAAACAGTTGTCAAATTCACTGTAATTCTCAGTTTCCTTCTTTTAGATTTGCATTAGATTTAATGAGGAAAAAAGAGAGAAGTATGTGGGCTTTTATTAAATTATCATTTCTTTTACTAGTTAAATATCCAATCGAAATCATTCCGAAGTCAGTGTAAATCTTTTAATTTATTTCAATAAGGCATAAATCACATCACAGAAAAGTAAGCAGCCAACTCAGGGCTGCTTTAGCTTGGTATTTGGAGCTATAGTAATGGAATTTCACTTTAAAGATCCCTTACGCGGTCAACATATAACATAGTGGTGTTTTCTTTATTGCATAATATTTACATTTCAGTCACAAATGGAGCATGTAAACTATTACCATAGATATCCAGGTGATAAGACAGAATCTCTTAGGTGTATAGCCTGTAGGTAAGTGTAATAATTTTATTTTAGCTGGTCATAATGAACTTAGAAAAAAAATGTGGTTTATGCCAACAGATTGTGGCCTAAAACATGTAGAGAGTGACACATTCTACCATTTAATTAAAATCCATTCTTTAGCAACCACTAATCTTGGGCAATTTAATCAATTTCTTCTGGCAATGTGTAAACAAAAGGACTTCAAAACATCACCATCTCCATCTCCAGAATGTCATACATGATTTTATTATGGAAATGCAACATGCTGGATTTAGACCACTTGAATAGAATGTTTAAATACCTCAATTTTACAAATGCGAATCATCTATTGAAGTCAATAAGATCACTTGCTTCCTTAAAGTTAAGCCCTGATTAAGTGCTTCTGTGGACTGAGGCCTCTAGGAAAAAACAGCTCTTGAGTCTGTACTTTGGTGAGATAGCAACCCCACCGGTTTTCTAAATCAAATCAAAATCTCCCACTTGGCAGTAATAGGAGGGGTTGTTGATTTTGGGATTTACCCACCAGTGAAATCTGAGACTTTAAACTGAATTACACTAATATTTCTGGATCCTATGTCACTGTTTGAGAACATCATTGCATTTTGGAGAAATTTAGAAAAAGGCCAGCTTTCCTTTGAGTTCATAATTTATGGTCACATTTATTTATAAATTAGAAAACTTAAATGAGAATCAGTAT